ACTTAGGGGAACCTGAAGTGCTTGCTGCAGCCTTCAATATGGATTGAGGCTCAACATCAAGAAAAGAAAGATTCTCACCACTAGGCCGATTGGCAGTATTATGATAGATGGTGAGGAGATTGAGACTGTTAACAGCTTCAGTTTGCTTGGCTGCACAATCAACAGTCTTGGGACCAGCTGCCAGGAAATAAAAAAGATGAATTGCCTTGGAAAAGTTGGTTGTCAAGGACTTCTCCAAAGTACTGAAGAGCAATGATGTTAGTCTGGAGACTAAGATGCACCTGATCCAGGCCATGGTCTTCGCAATTACTTGCTATGCAAAAGAGAGCTGAACAATGACTATGGATGATAGAAGGGGAATTTATGCCTATGACATGCTGGAGACGAGTATTGAATATACCATGGACTGCCAGGAGAAGAAACAGGCTTGACCTAGAGAAGGTGAAACCAGGCTGCTCCTTGGAGGCAAGAATTCTGAAGCTCTGTCCTGATATACTTTGGGCATGTTGCAAGGAGGGACCAGTCCTTGGAGAGGGACATCATGCTTGGAAAGGTGGAGGAACAGAGAAAGAGAGGGAGACCATCAATGAGATGGACTGATTCAGTGACTAGGGAAATGAAGGTAGGTGTGTTAGAGACAGTAAAGCTGGTACAGGATAAAGTAGGTTTCAGGGCTGTTTTATATAGTGTCACTATGAGTCACAAGTGACTCGACAGCACATAACAACAACAATCATAACAAAATGCCTTTAAAGAATTTTTTTAAAAAACCAAGTGAAAACATTTTTTAAACTTTAAAGATTATTAAACCTAGTGGCCACCCAAGTCTATGTGACAATGCAGCTGTAATCACCAAATAGGAAGGTACAATGGGAAAGGGGAGGAAGGAGAGTTGGGTGTTTTTTTTTTAAATTAATTTTAATGAACATTTACAGACATTTTGGATTTCCATTCATTCATTGTTGCATTTTTCTCCCTGCCCACCTCTCCCTCCCAGTTTGCTCTTCTCTTTGAAAAGTAAAAGAAAAATTCTTTCATTGGTATACAATCTCCTCCCCCCAGTACACTCCACTATGCAACCTTCATTCTGAACTCTTGTCATAACCATAATATTCAATCATATATCACTTTTAAACTGTTCTCTCCCTCATCTGTTTCAATGCAGTATACACAATTTATCCAATTTTTCTCAGTCTCTCCCCAACTCTGATGTCAGTCCCGTTCTACAACAGTGGCACTATGCAGTATTTGTCCTTTTATAACTGAAATATTTCACTTGGCATAATGTCCTCCAGGGTCACCATTTTGAATATTACATGGGTTCCTTGTTTTCCAACACAGCATAGTATTCCATTGTGTGAATATACCACAAATTCTCTATCGATTCATTTGTTGATGGGCACTTAGGTTGTTTCCAACTCTTTGCTATTGTGAACAAAGCCACAATAAACATGGGTGTGCATATATCAGCCTAGGTGGCAATTATGGTTTCTTTGGGGTATATTCTCAGTAGTGGAATTGCTGGGTCAAATGGTATTTCTATTTGCAATTTTTTGAGAAAGCGCCATACAGCCTTCCACAGTGGTTGCACCATCTTACACTCCCACCAACAGTGAATAAGGGTTCCAGTTTCTCCTCAACCTCACCAGCATTTGTTGTTTGCTGCTCTGTTAAATCTTGCTATTCTGACTGGGGTAAGATGCTATCTCATAGTTGTTTTGATTTGCATTTCTCTTAGAGCTAGGGATTTTGAACATTTCTTCATGTATTTGTTGGCCATCTGAATGTCTTCTTTGCGACATCTGTTCATATCCTGTGCCCAATTTTCAATTGGGTTATTTACCTTTATCTTGTTGTGGTGCTCAAGTATTTTATATATTCCAGATATAAGTCCCTTACCTGACATGTCATTACCAAATATTTTTCCCAGTCTGTGGCTTCCCTTTTTACTCTGTTGGAGAAGTTTTTAGATGTGCATAGGGATTTGATTCTTAGAAGTTCCCATTCATCTATTTTATCCTCTCCTGGTTGTAGATGAGGAGAGTTAAGTATGTAAAGACAGCAGCAATGGCAGCAGCACAAGACTGTTCCACCCTAGCTGCAAGTTCAACATCACTTGGAAGAGTGATAGTAACAAGTCAACTCCATGACAATCAGTAAAGCATTCTTAATTTTGTATATACCAGATCTCACCTTTGAAGAATACATTTTTATAAGTTCCTAAAGTCAAAGATCTCTTTTCCCTTTAGGACTTTTATTATCCTACGTCCCAACTGTCTCCTAATTACCATAAATTATCTAGCATTTCAAACTAATCTGCTTTATCAGAAGCCTCAAACAAACAAAAGTCTAAAAAGATTATTATTATATGTTAAAGCATAAAAGGAGGCTCAGTGGGAGTAGAGGTGGGGGGGAAGAAAAAAAAAGGAGGCTCAGAAAAGAACTGCTTTTGCCCCTACACCTGTAATTATCCCTCTGATTACAAGGGAGTTTCACCCACTTTGAACTTTCTCCGCCCCTTCCCCCCTCCCCCCCACACACACTAAAGAGAAGCATGGATCTGTCAGACCCAGATCTTGCCCCTTGACCTTGCTAAAAAGCTCTGGCAAGTGTGAAGTTAGAGGCACTTACGTTTTCATGACTTGGAAATCTCTTTTACTATTCCCTTTCTTCTTACTGCAGACTAGTAAAATTATATTTCTGCATGGTTTTAGGTTACTTGAGCTCACTATTTAATTGTGTCAAAATAATTATTTCAGTTTTATCTTTTTTAAAGTAAATTTTTTATTTTAATTGTGATTTTAACAAGTTTACAGAAAAAATAGATTTTCATTCATTAATTGTTGCATATGTTTACCCCCTCTCCCTGCCTTCACCCACCACCAGCTCTATTTGTTTTTAAAAAATATTCATTCATTGTTGCACAATTACCTCCCTCCCCACCCTCAGTACTCTTTGCAATGTACCTCTTATTCTAAGCTGTTGTCATACACATATTCCTTTTAAACAGTTCTTTCCTTCATCTGTTCCAGTGCAAAGTTCATTATCTGTCAACTCTTATCCTATTCTCCTCCTACCCTTTTAGTTTAACAGAACAAAAAGAAAACCATCGAGTTGATTTAAAATCAAGGTGACCCTCCCATGGGTTTCCAAGGCTGTAAATCTTTACATGCAATATTACTTCATCTTTCTTCTTCTTCTTTTTTATTTCATCTTTCTTGCCAGAAGTAGATTTGAACTGTCAACCTTTTGATTATTAGCCTAACACATAATACCAACAAAGCTCCTCAGCCTAACAGTGATGGCAAATGTTATTTTAAGCTATTTGTGGAATAAAAATAATGGCTCTAGACCCTTTGTTGTTCAGTGCTCCCTGAATCAACTATGGCTCATAGAGACCCTGAGAAGAACAGATTTGAGCCTTGGTCTGACTCCATTGTTACTATGTCAATTTATCTTGCTTAAGGTCTTCCTCTCTTTCTCTTTCACTTTCCCCAGCATGATGTCTTTTCCCAAGGACTAGCCCTCCTAACAACACGCCCAAAGTATGTTAGATGAAGTTTTACCTTCCTTGCCTCTAAGGAGCAATCTGGTTGCACTTCCTCCAAGACAGTCTTGTTTGTTCTCTTGGCAGTCCATGGGATATTCAGAACAACTCAAAGGCATCTCTTCTGTAATCCTTACTCATTGTCCAACTTTTAGATGCATAAGCAGCAATTGAAAAGATTTAGTGCAGGCTCACTTTAATCTTTAAATGGATGTCCTTGATCTTTAGCATTTTGGAGAGGTTTTTGACAGCAAATTTCCCTAATGCAATATCTTTTGAGTTCTTGACTGCTACTATCATGGGTGTTGATTGTGAATACAAGTAAAAGGAAATCCTTGAAAATGTCAATCTTTTGTCCATAATGTTGCTTTATTGTTCCAGTGGTGAGGATTTTTGTTTTCTTGATGTTGCAGTGTAACCCAAATTGAAGGCTGTAGTTGATCTTTTTTTCCATTTCTTTTTAGGTTGCTCCAAAGGAAATGTGTAAATGATTGATTGCTATGTGGAAAAAAGATATGCAAAAGCTGCTTAAAGGAAAAGTTTTTTGGAATGCTGCAAAAATTGGCTCATTAAGCTACCTCAAGAGTGCACATCATTCTTTTTCTGAGTCAATGTGTTTGAAGACAAAGCTTTATCTGTTTCCCTGCTTCGTTTCCAATTTGATATTCTAATTATGCAATATTGATTAACAAAATGCCCTAGTGGTTTGATCTGAGTATGCTTATGAGCAGAGGTTAATTGAAAACAGGAAACTGCTGTATATTTTAATTATTTTAGGTACTCCCATGGCAATACCCTGTACACTGGCTCTACACAAGAGTAAAATAAAGTCCACAATCAGGGTAGTCAGTACATCCCATTGTTGCTACATACATTTGAAGAGCTGTCAGAACTCACAACTTTTGAATCTTGCGCTCATCCTAGTCTATATGAAAATAAAACTGAAGCACACCAAGAACACATTTTACTGTTGTTCCATAAGAAACCACAAATCTTGAGACTGAAATGGCCGCTTTCTCCTAAGTGGTTAGGGCTAGTGGTTTTCAACGGGGAACTGGGCAATTCTGTGTTTTTAGTGTCACAATGATTTGGAAAGGTCCTGGTACCTAGCAGGCATGTCCAGGCATACCACACTTCTCTAATGCTGAACAGTGCCACACATTATAGAATTGATTCACTGGACCCTCACATTCACAAGAAAAAAAATAAAATCTGTTCATTGTGGTCTATGCCAAGAGCCACAATGGTTTACATACACTACATATACACACACACTATCAACAAAAAGCCCCACTGCCAACAAAGTCTCTACTCAGACTTAGGATGGCTCACTATCTGTTTTCCTAGGCTGTAAATCAAACTGCCCACCAGTTTTCTGGTTAGCAGTAAAGCAGGCATTAAGTCACCAGGGCTGGCCCAGATTTGATACACATTTAATTTCCCGGGAGTACAACTACTGTATCAATCGAGGCAAGAATGTAATGTTTTGTTTTAAATGTAACCAAGAGTTCACCATTTTGGAAAATAAGGTCATGAGTGGGCGTTCAATATCAAGGTTTCTGCGGCAGATGTCATAGATGGCCTCATTGTCTACCATGAAGGCACAATCTGAGTGCTCCAGGGCAGTGTGGGTGGTGAGAATGGAGTTGTAGGGCTCGACCACAGCTGTGGAAACCTGGGGGGCTGGGTAAATGGAGAACTCCAGTTTGGACTTCTTGCCATAATCAACAGATAGGCGCTCCATCAGCAGGGATGTGAAGCCAGAACCGGTTCCCTCACCGAAGCTATGGAAAACCAAGAAGCCCTGGAGACCTGTGCATTGGTCAGCCAATTTTCTAATCCGGTCCAGAACCAAGTCAATGATCTCCTTGCCGATGGTGTAGTGCCCACGGGCATAGTTGTTGGCAGCGTCCTCCTTGCCTGTGATGAGCTGCTCAGGGTGGAAGAGCTGGCGGTAGGTGCCAGTGCGAATTTCATCAATGACTGTGGGTTCCAGGTCTACAAACACGGCCCTGGGCACATGCTTGCCAGCACCAGTCTCACTGAAGAAGGTGTTGAAGGAGTCATCTCCTCCCCCAATGGTCTTGTCACTTGGCATCTGGCCATCAGGCTGGATGCCGTGCTCCAGACAGTAGAGCTCCCAACAGGCATTGCCAATCTGGACACCAGCCTGGCCAACGTGGATGGAGATGCACTCACGCATGGTTGCTGCTTCCCGGTTCCAAGGAGAAGGTGGAGGAGAGGAAGGTTGTTGCTTCTTACAGCGGGACTCTTAGGCGGTCGATGTACGTTTTAATTTCTATTAGTTGGGTCATGTTTGCTGAAATTGTGTTAATGGGTTTAGGTTATTAATAAGACATGTTATTTCAGATGGTTAAAAAGGTACAAAATTGGGTCTTTTACAGGATTCTGTAGTCTATCCAGTTCGTTTTACAGATGAGTAAATTGAGACCCAAAGCCCCAGGACACATTGTTTTATTCTTACCTCCTTATTTCGTTTGAATTTAATTTTAAAAATTGGAAAGAGAGAAAAATTGTGTATGTGGTGAATTATGTGATGAGAACAAGCTATTTTCATTCTGGCAGCACAAGACCCTTTGGGGGATGGTGGAAAATTCTGCGTATTATTTAATTCTTTTGTCAGGCTGAGGGCAAGAAAGGTGGGGAGAAAGCAAGCACTGGATCCACTAGTTAACACGTTTTCTATTTCAGGGTCTGTAGCATTGAAATTGGGAAAGGGATAGTCTGTCCTGTCCAGGAGGGGGCCACAAGGAGTTCTTCCCATGGCAGAAGAGCATTTCCTACCTTTGGCTATCTACCGCAGTAGCCTGACACCCCTAGACTGGATCGATAATCTCTTTGCAATTTCTTGACAGACCCAGATTCAGCCTAGCCACAAAACCCCACATTTTCTTGGGCCCCACTGGAGGCATTCACAATCCCACAACCCCTGCCTTTGGGGGAAGCAGTTGGTGGCCACTGTCCCTGAGTCCAGGGATGCCCCACAGGGGAAAACTAGGGGCCCAAACTACAGGTGCGCAGCTAGTGTTCCGGCATAGAGCCCGGGTCCTCAGGAAGGTACGTAATTCTCATTGTTTTTTCACCAAGAGGAGAAAGGGGTGCCGGGGAGGGCGTGCTAGCGCCAAAAGAGAGATGGGAGGGGCCCTAGGGTTTATAGGCCACGCCCCTGCTGCCTAGGCAACCACGAAAGGTGGTTCAAGGCCATCTCCCACTCCTTCACTTCCCCCCAAGCCACGTCCTGTTCACTCTCCGATCCTCCTCCTTTTCCCCTTCTCCCTCCCCTCCCCCCAATTTAGAGAACTCCATCAAAGTCACAGTTCCCAGCTCCACAAAATGGCCACCGCTTTCTACACCTGCGGTCACGTGACATGCTATCGTCTCAGTTTCGGGCCTCTTTTTGCTTAACTCCGACTTGGTGGGGGTGGGTGGGCGTGCGTGTGACATAGCAAGGGCTAAGAACGGAAATATTACAGGTTCTCACAGAGAGATACAGTAAGTAAGAGGACAGCGCTAGAACGAAAGAAGGGGAAACGAGTGGAGAAGACTAGGAACATAAAAGGCCTAGGTTTTAAGGACCTTCCCACTAGTAGAAAGCATAAGACGAGTTCTCGCGAGATCTCGAGAATTTCAAGACGTAAACTAGGACATTAGTGGGAAACTTGGGATGTGAACCTCTAAGGAACAGCATTCGACGCTTTGAGCTCCAGGGCCTTGAGCTCCAGGGCCGAGTGAAGGGGCGGTGTGGGGGAAGGGCAGAACGGAACTGATTAGGAAATCCCGCGAGGTTAGGATTTAGCGAGTGCACAGTAGCCAGGCAGAAGCCTTAGTGGTAGGAGGCGGGCACACGTACTACGTGCTGACGTAGAAGCACGAGTGGGTATATTAGCTCCGTGGCCGCGGTCTGCGCTCTAGAGCCGCAGTTCTCCCGTGAGAGGGTCGTTGCGGTAATACTAACACACTTGGTCAGTAGTGGACGACACCGACTTCTCGGTACTCTTCAGGAATGAGTCATGTGGCGGTGGAAAATGCGCTCGGGCTGGACCAGCAGGTGAGACTACTAGGGTTGCATGACTCTATCCTGGTTATGGCGCAGCGTTAACTTGCAACCTTAGTTTCCATTTCCTAGGTGCCTAAGGTTTGCATTTGCCAGTGCCTTGGGGTTGTGGAAGGGCTGGGAGGTGGCCAGAATGCTGCTTAGGGCTTTGCTTGGTCTTTAAGTGAGATTTGGACCGTGGTATTGTCCCCAGGCCGAGCACAATGGCGGCTTTTGTGTGTGCGTTCGCAGGCTGGCGGGTGTGGGGGGGGAGGGGATGCGCGCTCTCGCAGACACACGCACGCGCCAGGGCCGGGCTCCTTAGTGACGGGGTTGGGGGAGGGTGAGGAGCGAGGTGAGTGCGCGACGGAGCGCGAGAGGGGACCCTTATTGTTTTGCGTGCTAGGGGCCTCGTTGCGCCCTACGACCTGGATTTCTGTGTGGGAGAATTTGCTGCCTGGATTTTTGTATGCCTGTGAACGGGGGGCGGCAGGACTCCGGGATGTGGGAGGGAGCGGCGCGGGATGATGGGATGGCCTTGGTTGGGAGGTAATGGCGGCAGCCTCCTTTGTGTGGAGGTAGGTGGCTGGGCGGCGCTGCTACCCATTAGCAGGAAAAGGCCGGTCTCTTGGGCCCTAGGCCGGCCGAGGGGCAAAATAGGAAAAGAAAGACGGGATTGAGTATCTTGCCCCTCCCGGATTTCCTTCCGCGGGCCCTTTCGCTTCAGCTCCGTTTCTGGAGGACCGTCGCAGGCCGGTTGCCGCGGCCAGGGAGGCCGCGTTTCCGGAGTGGAAAGTTTTGTGACGCAGATGATTCAGGGGGAGGAGGGGGAGAAAGGGGTGGGCCGCTGCGTGCCCTGTGGCGCTGGGCTCTGGAGATAATAGAGGTTGAATGTCTGGGAGACTCATGAGGCTGGGGGTCCAGCAGGGTCCCATTTTAGCCTAGGGCTGCTCGGGTTTTGTGGGCGGAACTGCAGTCTGAATATCTTTGAGTTCGTGAAGTTTGATCAGGGATCGGCCAGAGGAAAAACTCCCGAAATGTGGCTTAAAAACCAATAATTTCCATCAAGTCGATTCTGATTCTTTTCGACCATATAGAGCAGAATTGAAACTGCCCCATGGAGTTTCCAAGGTTATAAATCTTTAGGAAACAGACTTACTCATCTGATGCGGATTACCATTGTGCCAAACAAAATAGAATTCAACGTAGTTCCTGAACCATCTTAACCGACCTTAATATGTGATGATGGTAGTGGGAGATAACACAGTTATGTTGATGCTTCGCTCCAGAGCCCCGTAAAATTGAGTCAGAGGCGCCAGGTCTCTTAACTAGAATCTTCCCATCTAATGGTTAACGGGCAGTGCAAAGAGATTTACATATAAAAGGGAGGAGTTTGGTTTGTCCTCAGTTGCGGAAGTCAGTACGGTTTAGAGTGTCCTTTCGAGCCTTTTAAATAAACTGGGGAGCTGTATTGCTTTTGCCTTGTATGATTAGGAGAGAGCGAACTAATTTCATGAGGTCGTTAATGATTCTGGAACTAGTGACTAATTGACCCTAGATGTGAATGTTTTTTTTTTTTTTTTCATTAATGAATAAATAATACTAGCTTTTTCCAGTTGCTGACCGTAGAATGGAGCCTAGCTGTAGAAAATCACTCGTTTTAGCATTTTTCATTTAATGATGCCCTTTTAAACATCAATTTAACTTCTAAGTTGTTTACTAGCAAGTTCACAAAAAAAATTGCAGTAGTGTAACTAACAAATTTAAGTGTTTAAAGTTCCTACATAATTCAAGTTTCCACAATGCAAAACTAGTAATAAAACTTGTATTCTGGAGTATTTTGCAACAAGTACAAAAAGTAAGTTTGTTCCTGTTGCACTTTAAAGTATTAGCCTGCTGCAGGAATTACTAATGCAGGGAGAAAGGAAAAAGTGTGGCAGCGTTTTTCCTAGTGGAAATTCTGGAAATAAGATTCTCAAATTCATGTTGCACGCATCTTTTGAATGGCATAATATTCTAATTTCTAGTGTTCCAGTTGATGTTTATGCAGTTTGGCAATACCTTGAACTTTTAGCATAGGCTTCATAAACTTGTTTTGATTTGGTGTTTCTCTTTTGCAGACATGTAGCAACTATGTATCATTTTTGTTTCCTTGTATGTAGTTCCTGTTACTAAATACGGTGTGAGGTTTACCTTTTGGTAACATACTTGAGACTTTAAACTGCTTATGTGAATGGAAAGGTAGAAGTGGAGATTAAAGGCAATGAAAAAGAACATTGTGCCTTTTTTGGTAGCTCTGTGACCAAAATAATATTTGAGTATGTCATTAAAATGGGAGAAAATAAATAGTACCTAGTCCACCAGGTCAAAAATTGAACTGGTTCAGTTGTATGTCAAGTGTGTTAAGAACGCTACTAATTTGAAATTATAGACTGGCAATAATTAAGAGTAAAGAAAGTAAGGAAGGGACGATTCCTGATTTGTCTGAACAGCTTTGAGGTGGCTCTTTTAAGTTTAATATTATTTGAGATAGAAGTTGGTTGCATTGAAAACAAATTAATTGTTTGATTTTTTTTTAAGATAATTTGCATTTCCTTGAGAGTTAGTGCAATTAAGTTTGGTGATTATTGTTGGTTCCTGTCTGGTTGTTCCAATTCATGACAGTGTCATATATGTGGAGAACTGGTGCTCTGTGAGGTTTTCAGTGGTGACCTTTTGGGTCTCTCGGACTCCTTGCTTGATGATTTCCAAAAAATCAAGCTTCATGTTTTTCAAGTCAGGTCCTTGTTGCTTTATAGCAGCTAAGACATTAGGGTTTTACTTAGGCAGCCAGAGACAACTATTGGTGAACGTGATGCTAGTAAATAGTAAAGGTCAGGATTTATTTTCTCTGTAATATTTCAGCATATGAACTGCTAACTACCTATTTTTCTTTTAGTTTGCTGGCCTAGACCTGAACTCTTCAGATAATCAGAGTGGGGGCAGTACAGCTAGCAGTGAGTAACATTTTATTAATTTACTGAATCTTTATTAATTTGAGTTAATATTTCATTAAACTTTTAGAATTTCAAGATTTCTTTCAAGAACCTTTTATAACATACAAATTTGTAAGAGTATGTCAAATATGAATCTTGTGCCTGACCCAGGTAGAGTGAATGAACCAGAACTGTTAATAAAGGGAACATGCTCATTCATAAGTAAATTATAATTAAATTCATAATTAAATTA